ATCATGTTGTAAATGTTTCTTATCTCAATAATGAACCATAGTCTACCACTACACTCCCCCCTCTTTTCTTTCAACTGATTTTTTTTTAAGTTATCCCATTTCAAAGAAAAGAAGATCGCTTTTAGTCCCGTACATTATACTGTAAAATGCTAATCCTTCTTATGTACAAATTTCTTTCTGAAATAGAAATCCATCCGTGCAAAAATCTGCTCCAATTCATGTATTTTCTGAAATTAATCGATGAGGCACGTGCGGTCCGCTTGATTGCGAAATTAAAATCAATGTATTACTGAAATCCTACACTCAAATTTCTAAACATGCATTAAAATACAAATCTGTGCTCCCGTAAACATGTGTACGTAATATGTATGCATGATCCGACATCAATGACCTGCACAAAATAAAAACAATAGTTATCGTGTTTCTTTGATCAATACACATGTGCTCTGTTCAACGGTCTCCCCTGGAAAGAACTCCAGACATATATATTCGAGGGTCACGTGACTTCACAAAACCATCTCGCGCGCGGACCTAAATTTAGAATAAAACATTGCATATCCAAATAACGAAAATAAAACTTCCAAGATAAAATTTACTCCGTTTTCCTACAAATTCAATCAAAATGCATACACAACAAATAGATGAAAAATGGAAGTCCGAAGTAACATAGAAACTAGAGAAAATTTATAAACGAATGATGCTAGGATCAATTTTTATGAGGACATCTCAGGCGTCCGTTTGGCTGTGCGGGATGTCTAAGTACGCAGTCACGTTCGGTCAGAATATAGGCGTTATTTAAGTTAGCTGCGTCGCACAGAGAAAGTGCCATGCAATCAATCAATCAATCAATCAATCAATCGACCAATCAATCGACCGACCGACCGACCGACCATCAACCAACCAACCAACCAACCAACCAAGCAAAAAACCAATTAATCATGTTTCGGAGGGGAAAGACCGTTTAACAATTGTTTTTAAAACAATTGATTTATATTTAGGTCTTTCCACTTTTCGGTGGAAAGACCTATTGTATTTGTTCTGATTATTATTATTAGGTCTTTCCACTTTTCGGTGGAAAGACCTATTGTATTTGTTCTGATTATTATTAGGTCTTTCCACTTTTCTGTGGAAAGACCTATTGTATTTGTTCTGATTATTATTATTAGGTCTTTCCACTTTTCTGTGGAAAGACCTATTGTATTTGTTCTGATTATTATTATTAGGTCTTTCCACTTTTCTGTGGAAAGACCTATTGTATTTGTTCTGATTATTATTATTATTCTACTTATTTCATTACAAAGCCATATGACCTTTTACAAAAGGTTGGGTGACATATGACCTTGAAAAATGACAACCGGAAGTGACCTTGAGAAAACCGGAAGTAGCCATTTTTGCACTTTTTTCATGGAAAAGTACTCAGAATCCATATTTTTTATAATATAGATACATAAACTTCTCACTAATGACAACGAGTGACTTACGATCAACCGGAAGTGGCCAATTATCTCCTGTTTTACAGACTAAAGTATATAGAAACTATATATTTTTGGAATCAGTTCGAAAGAAGCTATCCTATGAGACCGGAAGTGACATTTACTTCACCGGAAGTAATTAATTATCTTCCTTATTTCACTCAAAAGTAAATAAAAGCCACTAATTTATCGTATCAGAATGAGGAAACTTATGATTGGATGCAAATTTTAACTGTAAGTAAACAGGAACTAGCTTGTTTTCAATAACTTTGAAAATTGATGTGGAAAGACCTTCAATTGTTCTCTGAACAATTGGTTTTTAATTATTATTATTATTATTATTATTTTTTTTTTTTCTTCCGCCAAATTTTGTTCTTGCGATAAATATTTGTTTCGCAATATGTCGCTTAGATGTTTCTCATATTGTATCGTATAGTTTATGCGCTTTTAAATTTCACCCTGCTAAGCCGGACAATTATCTTTGTAAGAGTTATCTCCCTATTCACTGTTTATCAAGTGTGTGCATCTCCTTCGTAACAAAAAAAGATATCGACAAAATTCTTTTTCTAAATTGTTCGATACATCCTCAGGAATTTTTGGCTAATTTGGATCGAAGCGATTCGATGAAATTTTATAGGAGTTATCTACCTTTATGAAATAAATTTGTCGTTATGTTTTTGTTACTCATAAACTGTAAGCCGTATAAACCTATAGTCTTTTTATTTGAGGTCCTTGGATCCTTACTTCGAAAATGAGGTCAAGGTCAAAGGTCAAGGTCATGTTCTGAATTTTGTCTTTTGCTTGTTTTTGCATTTTCTCCGATATTTTTAATGTTATATATTAAAGAACAAGTGCAAAATGTTTGTTATATTGTGATGAAGATATGATACATTTGGTCTGAGACAATTCAGCGACATCTTATTGGAGTTACTGCCCCTGAAATGTTTTATTTTAAGGTAAATTGACTATTACTTCATATTGGTACAGGATAAAGCCATAATATCTTTTGCAAAATGTTGGGTGACATATGACCTTGAAAAATGTCAACCGGAAGTGACCTTGAGTAAACCAGAAGTAGTCATTTTTGCACTTATTTCATGTAGAAGTACATAGAAACCATATATTTTTTGAATGGTCATACATTAATCTATCATTTGAGACCGGAAGTGATATTTTATAAACCGGAAATAGCATATTATCTCCCTTATTACAGGCATAAGTATAAATAAACCATATATTTTTGGAATCAGTGTAAATAAAGCTATCATATGAGACCGAAAGTGACATTTTCTAAACCGGAAGTAGCCAATTATCTCCCTTTTTACAGGCAAAAGTATATATAAACCATATATTTTTGGAATCAGAGTGAAAAAATCTATCATTTGAGACCGGAAATGACATTTTTTAAACCGGAAGTAGCCAATTATCTCCCTTTTTACAGGCAAAAGTATATATAAACCATATATTTTTGGAATCAGTGTAAATAAAGCTATCATATGAGACCAGAAGTGACATTTTCTAAACCGGAAGTTGACAATTATCTCCCTTATTTCAGGCAAAAGTCTATAGAAACCATATGTTTATTGAATCAGTATGAAGAAACCTATGATTGGACGCCAATAGTAGCTTTGAGTAAACCAGAATTAGCTTCTCATCAATTATTTTGAAAATTGATGTGGAAAGACCTTCAATTGTTCTTTGAACAATTGGTTTTTAATTATTATTATTTTTTTTTTTTCCGCCAAGTTTTGAAATTTTTGTTTCGCAATATGTCGCTTAGATATTTCTCATATTGTATCGTATAGTTTATGCGCTTTTAAATTTCACCCTGCTAAGACGAACCATTTCCTTTGTAAGAGTTATCCCCTTATTCACTGTTTATCAAGTGTGTGCATCTCCTTCGTAACAAAAAAAGATATCGACAAAATTCTTTTTCTAAATTGTTCGTTACATCCTCAGGAATGTTTGGCTAATTTGGCTCGAAGCGATTCGATGAAATTTTATAGGAGTTATCTACCTTTACCAAATAAATTTGTCGGCATGTTTTTTTAACTCATAAACCTTTAACCGTATAACCCTGGAATCTTTTTATTTGAGACCCCTAGGTCCTAACTTAGAAAATGAAGTCAAGGTCAAAGGTCAAGGTCAAGTTCTCAATTTTGACTTTTCCTTGTTTTTGCATTTTCTTCAACACTTTTTAAGATATATATGAAAGAACAACTGCAAAATGTGTGCTTTATTGTAATGAAGATATGTTACATTTGGTTTGAAACAATCTAATGGCATCTTATAGGAGTTAGTGCCCCTGAAATGTCTAATTATAAGGTTAATTGATTATTTCTTCAACTTGGTTCATTATAAAGCCATATGACATTTTACAAAAGGTTTAGTGACATATGACCTTGAAAAATGTCAACCGGAAGTGACATTGAGAAAACCGGAAGTAGCTTTTTTTGCACTTTTTTCATGGAAAAGTACTCAGAATCCATATATTTTGTAATATAAATACATAAACTTATCACTTAAGACCAGAAATGACTTTCGATAAACCGGAAGTGGCCAATTATCTCCTGTTTTACATGCAAAAGTATATAGAAACTATATATTTTTGGAATCAGTGTTAAAGAAGCTATCAAATGAGACCGGAAGTGACGCTTACTTCACCGGAAGTAGCACATTATCTCCCTTATTTCACTCAAAAGTATATAGAAACCATTCATTTATCGCATCAGTTTGAAGAAACTTATGATTGGATACTAATTTTAACTTTGAGTAAACCGGAACTAGCTTCTTTTCAATAACTTTGAAAATTGATGTGGAAAGACCTTCAATTGTTCTCTGAACAATTGGTTTTTAATTTTTTTTTTCTTCCGCCTAATTTTGTTCTTGCGATAAATATTTGTTTCGCAATATGTTGCTTAGATATTTGGTATATGATATCGAACAGTTTATGCGCCTTTGAAATTGACCCTGCGAAACCAAATAATTTTCTTTGTAGGAATAACCGGCCCGAACACTGTTTTCCTTTTGCACGCATCTCCTCCGTAACCGTAAAAGAAAGCGACAAATTTATTTTACCAAATTGCTCGTTATATCCTCAGGATGTTTTGTCCAATTTTGAACGAAGCGATACGTAAACTCCATATGAGAGTTATTTCCCCTTCTGTATTTGACATAAGGGATATATAAATGTATAGCATGAATGGTAAGTGATAGAGACCTAAGGTATATTGATTTGAGTTCCTTGGTTCATTTAAATGAAATTGAGGCCAAGGTCAAAGGTCAAGGTCATATTCTAAATTTGGACTTTTCCTTGTTATTTGATCTTCTCTGTCGCTTTTAAAATTACAAATTAATGAACTAGTGCAAAATGTTTGCTTAATTGTGATTAAGATATGATACATTTGGTCTGAAATAATCCAATGATATCTTATATGAGTTATTGTCCCTGAAATGATTCAATTTAAGGTTAATTGATTATTACTCCAACTTGGTACATGATAAAGTAATATAATCTTTTGCAAAATGTTGGTTGACATATGACCTTGAAAAATGTCAACCGGAAGTGACCTTGAGTGAACCAGAAGTAGTCATTTTTGCACTTATTTCATGTAGAAGTACATAGAAACCATATATTTTTTGAATGGTCATACATTAATCTATCATTTGAGACAGGAAGTGATATTTTATAAACCGGAAGTAGCATATTATCTCCCTTATTACAGGCATAAGTATATATAAACCATATATTTTTGGAATCAGTGTGAATAAAGCTATCATATGAGACCGGAAGTGACATTTTCTAAACCGGAAGTTGACAATTATCTCCCTTATTTCAGGCAAAAGTCTATAGAAACCATATGTTTATTGAATCAGTATGAAGAAACCTTTGATTGGACGCTAATAGTAGCTTTGAGTAAACCAGAATTAGCTTCTCATCAATTATTTAGAAAATTGATGTGGAAAGACCTTCAATTGTTCTTTGAACAATTGGTTTTTAATTATTATTATTATTTTTTTTTTTTTTCCGCCAACTTTTGAAATATTTGTTTCGCAATATGTCACTTAGATATTTCTCATATTGTATCATATAGTTTATGCGCTTTTAAATTTCACCCTGCTAAGCTGAACAACTATCTTTGTAAGAGTTATCTCCCTATTCACTGTTTATCAAGTGTGTGCATCTCCTTCGTAACAAAAAAAGATATTGACAAAATTCTTTTTCTAAATTGTTCGTTACATCCTCAGGAATGTTTGGCTAATTTGGATCGAAGCGATTCGATGAAATTTTATAGGAGTTATCTACCTTTATCAAATAAATTTGTCGTTATGTTTTTGTTACTCATAAACTGTAAGCCGTATAAACCTATAGTCTTTTTATTTAAGGTCCTTGGATCCTAACTTCGAAAATGAGGTCAAGGTCAAAGGTCAAGGTCATGTTCTGAATTTTGTCTTTTGCTTGTTTTTGCATTTTCTCTTATATTTTTAATGTTATATATTAAAGAACAAGTGCAAAATGTTTGTTATATTGTGATGAAGATATGATACATTTGGTCTGAGACAATCCAGCGACATCTTATTGGAGTTATTGCCCCTGAAAAGTTTTTTTTAAGGTAAATTGATAATTACTTCATATTGGTACATGATAAAGCCATAAGATCTTTTGCAAAATGTTGGGTGACATATGACCTTGAAAAATGTCAACCGGAAGTGACCTTGAATGAACCGGAAGTAGTCATTTTTGCAGTTATTTCATGTAGAAGTACATAAAAACCATATATTTTTTGAATGTCATACATTTATCTATCATTTGTGACCGGAAGTGATATCTTATAAACCAGAAGTAGCATATTATCTCATTTTTACAGGCAAAAGTATATATAAACCATATCTTTTTTGAATCAGTGTAAATAAACCTATCATATGAGACCGAAAGTGACATTTTCTAAACCGGAAGTAGCCAATTTTCTCTCGTTTTACAGGCAAAAGTATATATAAACCATATATTTTTGGAATCAGTGTAAATAAATCTATCATATGAGACCGGAAGTGACATTTTCTAAACCGGATGTAGCCAATTATCTCCCTTTTTACAGGTAAAAGTATATATAAACCATATATTTTTGGAATCAGTGCAAATAAAGCTATCATATGAGACCGGAAGTGACATTTTCTAAACCGGATGTTGACAATTATCTCCCTTATTTCAGGCAAAAGTCTATAGAAACCATGTTTATTGAATCAGTATGAAGAAACCTATGATTGGACGCCAATAGTAGCTTTGAGTAAACCAGAATTATCTTCTCATCAATTATTTAGAAAATTTATGTGGAAAGACCTTCAATTGTTCTTTGAACAATTGGTTTTTAATTATTATTATTATAATTATTATTTTTTTTTTCTTCCGCCAAATTTTGTTCTTGCGATAAATATTTGTTTCGCAATATGTCGCTTAGATATTTCTCATATTGTATCGTATAGTTTATGCGCTTTTAAAATTTACCCTGCTAAGACGAACAATTATCTTTGTAAGAGTTATCTCCCTATTCACTGTTTATCAAGTGTGTGCATCTCCTTCGTAACAAAAAAAGATATCGACAAAATTCTTTTTCTAAATTGTTCGTTAAATCCTCAGGAATTTTTGGCTAATTTGAATCGAAGCGATTCGATGAAATTTTATAGGAGTTATCTACCTTTACCAAAAAAATTTGTCGGTATGTTTTTTTAACTCATAAACCTTTAACCGTATAACCCTGGAATGTTTTTATTTGAGGCCCCTAGGTCCTAACTTAGAATATGAAGTCAAGGTCAAAGGTCAAGGTCAAGTTCTAAATTTTGACTTTTCCTTGTTTTTGCATTTTCTCAAACACTTTTAAAGATATATATAAAAGAACAAGTGCAAAATGTTTGCTTTATTGTAATGAAGATATGTTACATTTTGTTTGAAACAATCTAATGGCATCTTATAGAAGTTAGTGCCCCTGAAATATCTAATTATAAGGTTAATTGATTATTACTTCATCTTGGTTCATTATAAAGCCATATGACCTGTTACAATGTCAACCGGAAGTGACCTTGAGAAAACCGGAAGTAGCCTTTTTCGCACTTTTTTCATGGAAAAGTACTCAGAATCCATATATTTTGTAATATAACTACATAAACTTATCACCAAAGACCAGAAGTGACTTTCGATAAACCGGAAGTGGCCAATTATCTTCTGTTTTACATGCAAAAGTATATAGAAACTATATATTTTTGGAATCAGTGTAAACGAAGCTATCAAATGAGACCGGAAGTGACGTTTAATTCACCGGAAGTAGCACATTATCTCTCTTATTTTACTCAAAAGTATATAGAAACAATTCATTTATCGCATCAGTTTGAAGAAACTTATGATTGGAATCCAATTTTAACTTTGAGTAAACCGGAACTAGCTTCTTTTCAATAACTTTGAAAATTTATGTGGAAAGACCTTCAATTGTTCTCTGAACAATTGGTTTTTAATTTTTTTTTTCTTCCGCCAAATTTTGTTCTTGCGATAAATTATTGTTTCGCAAGATGTCACTTAGATGTTTCGTATATGATATCGAACAGTTTATGCGCCTTTGAAATTGACCCTGCTGGACCGAATACTTTTCTTTGTAGGAGTTATCTCGCCGAACACTGTTTTCCTTGTGCGTGCATCTCCTCCGTAACCGTAAAAAAAGCGACAAATTTATTTTACCAAATTGCTCGTTATATCCTCAGGATGTTTTGTCCAATTTTGACCAAAGCGATACGTAAACTCCATATGAGAGTTATTTCCCCTTCTGTATTTGACATAAGGGATATATAAATGTATAGCATGAATGTTAAGTGAAAGAGACCTAAAGTATATTGATTTAAATTCCTAAGTTCATTTAAATGAAATTGAGGCCAAGGTCAAAGGTCAAGGTCATATTCAAAATTTTGACTTTTCCTTGTTATTTGATCTCCTCTGTCACTTTTAAAATTACAAATTAAAGAACTAGTGCAAAATGTTTGCTTAATTGTGATTAAGATATGATACATTTGGTCTGAAACAATCCAGTGATATCTTATAGGAGTTATTGTCCCTGAAATAATTCAATTTAAGGTTAATTGATTATTACTCCAACTTGGTACATGATAAAGCCATAGGATCTTTTGCAAACTGTTGGTTGACATATGACCTTGAAAAAAGTAAACCGAAAGTGATCTTGAGTGAACCGGAAGTAGTATTTTTTGCCCTTATTTCATGGAAAAGTACCTAGAAACCATATATTTTTTGAATGATCATAGGTTAACCTAGACCGGAAGTGACATTTTATCTACCGGAAGTAGCATATTATCTTCCTTATTACAGGCATAAGTATATACAAACTATATATTTTTGGAATCAGTGTGAATAAAGCTATTATATGAGACATGACGTGACATTTTCTAAACCGGAAGTTAGCAATTATCTCCCTTATTTCAGGCAAAAGTATATAGAAACCATTTATTTATTGAATCAGTATAAAGAAATCTATACTTTGACGCTATTAATATCTTTGAGTAAACCAGAAGTAGCTTTCTATCAATTATTTAGAAAATTTATGTGGAAAGACCTTCAATTGTTCTTTGGTTTTTAATTATTATTATTATTCTTTCACCTAATTTTGTTCTGCAGTTTTTTTGGAGCCAATGGAACCAATCTTAATGATAATTAACGATAATGAGGAACACAAAATTTCGGGTTGCAGTAGGTCTTAAGAACATTAAAAATGGCTGTCGTTACCATGGAAACGGAACAAATGTAAAAAAATCCAGTTTTTGGTTCTGGTGAATTATTTGGAGATGCTTAAACTTAGAATCATTATATTTTAATACCATTTAGGTGCCCACTTTATACTGGTTTTGGATGATTTTTGCAATCATTGGAACTACTATGTTGCCATGGAAACTACATCAAAAATTTTAAAAATATAAAAATGCTCAAAATTTTTTGAAACTTCACAGTAACGATGAGCAACATTGGTAGATGTGGAATTTGGCGTTAGAATTTCCAAAATGTCTGCCGTTACCATGGAAACAATGCAAAAAGGTCAAAATGATTCAAAAACTTCAGGATTTGGTGAATAATTTCGGTATGCTTTAACTTCAAATCATCAATTTTTTATACAATATAGTTGCCCATTATATACAGGTGTTGAATGATTTTGACAATCATTGGAACTACTATGTTACCATGGATACAGGAGCAAAAATTTCAAAAATTTCAGAATGCTTCAAACTTAATAAAACTTTACAATAATGTTGACTGTCATGTGTGGAAGCAGCAATTGGCGTTGGAATTTCAAAAATTGCTGCCGTTACCATGGAAACAAGGCAAAAAAGGAAAGTTATGCGTAAAATTTGTAAATCCACTAAATGTTCTAAAAAATTACAGAAAGATGTATAGCCATCAGTATATATGTGCATTCACTGTCTAAAATTTTGAAACTGGCTGCAATCTAGTGACAATGGGGGAAGGGTGACATCCGCTATTGCTTGCTAGGCAAATCTAGTTATTATTATTCTTCCACCTAATTTTGTCCGGGAGTTTTCTCAGAGCCAAAGGAACCAATCTTAATGGTTGTTCACTATAACAAGGAACCCTGACTTTCGGGTTGCAGTGCAACTTTGGAACTAAAAAATGGCTGCCATCACCATGGAAACTGAAAAAAGGTGAAAAAATTAAATTTTAGGGTTTGGTGAATTATTTGGGTATGCCTAAACTTAAAATCATTAAATTTTGATACAATGTAGTTGTCCATTATATACAGGTTTTGGATGATTTTGACAATGATTGGTACTACTATGTTGCCATGGAAACTGCAGCAAAATTTTCAAAAATTTCAAAATGCTTCAAACTTTATGAAACCTCACAGTAATGATAAGCAACATTTGTAGACGTGGCGTTTGGCATTGGAATTTCCAAAATGGCTGCCGTTACCATGGAAACAATGCAAAAAAAGTCAAAATGTGAAATTTTTAAAAATGCTTCAAATTTTCCGAAAATTTACAGAAAGATGTATTGCCATGCATATGTGTGCATTCTATGTTTAAAGTTTTTGAAATGGGTGCCACTTAGTGGCAATGGGGGGAAGGGTGACATCCGCTATTGCTTGCACTGGCAAGTCTAGTTATTTTTATTCTTCCACACATTTTGTCCATGCTATTTCTCGGGATTGGTCAGACCCATGTTGATGGAACTATACCATAATATGAACCGCCATGTGAAGTTGTGCAAGAGACATTGGAATGGTTCAAAGTGGCCGCCGTTACCATGGAAACTGCAAAAATGTCAAAAAAGATTAAAATTCTAAATCTTTTGTTATAAGAGGCAACCTCATGAAAGTTTATGTAAATGTTGGCAGTGGTGCCCTGAGGTACCAACAGTATTTGGAATTTTCAAAATGGCTGCCATTGCCATAGAAACTGGAGAAAAGTGTAACATAAGGGAAAACATCAAAGCAGCATTTTCTTAAGGAATATAAGATCAAACCGAAACAAATTTCATGAATATATAACATGGCATATTAGTCAATGTTGTTGGAATTTTCGAAATGGACACCGTTACCATGGAAACTGCAAAAATGTCAAAAAAGATTAAAATTCTAAATCTTTTGTTATAAGAGGCAACCTCATGAAAGTTTATGTAAATGTTGGCAGTGGTGCCCTGAGGTACCAACAGTATTTGGAATTTTCAAAATGGCTGCCATTGCCATAGAAACTGGAGAAAAGTGTAACATAAGGGAAAACATCAAAGCAGCATTTTCTTAAGGAATATAAGATCAAACCGAAACAAATTTCATGAATATATAACATGGCATATTAGTCAATGTTGTTGGAATTTTCGAAATGGACACCGTTACCATGGAAACAGCAAAAATGTCCAAAAATCTCAAAATGCTCCAAACTTAATGAAACTCATTATAAATGGTAAATGGTAAGTAAAGATAAGACTTTGGAATTCCAAAATGGCCGCCGTTGCCATGGAAACTGCAAAAATGTGAAAAATTGAAAAATGCTCCAAACTTTCTGAAAATTTACAAACAAATATGTCATGTATGTTGTGATGTATTTATGGGACTATTTTAAATTTTCAGAATGGCAGCAGTTTAGTGGCAATGTTGGAAGGGTGCCATCCGCCATTGCTTGCAATGGCAAATCTAGTTATGGCACTTTTCTGTGGAAAGACCTATTGGTTTTCTTCTGATTATTTTTTTTTCTCCCGCCAAATTTTGTTCTTGCGATAAAATTTTGTTTCGCAAGATGTGGCTTAGATGTTTCGTATATGATATCGAACAGTTTCTGCGCCTTTGTATTTGACCCTGCTTAACCGAATACTTTTCTTTGTAGGAGTTATCTCCCTGAACACTGTTTTCCTTGTGCATGCATCTCCTCCGTAACCGTATAAGAAAGCGACAAATTTATTTTACCAAATTGCTCGTTATATCCTCAGGATGTTTTGTCCAATTTTGACAGAAGCGATACGTAAACTCCATATGAGAGTTATATCCCCTTCTGTATTTGACATAAGGGATATATAAATGTATAGCATGAATGGTAAGTGATAGATACCTAAGGTATATTGATTTGAGTTCCTTGGTTCATTTAAATGAAATTGAGGCCAAGGTCAAAGGTCAAGGTCATATTCTAAATTTTGACTTTTCCTTGTTATTTGATCTCCTCTGTCACTTTTAAAATAACAAATTAAAGAACTAGTGCAAAATGTTTGCTTAATTGTGATTAAGATATGATACATTTGGTCTGAAACAATCCAATGATATCTAATAGGAGTTATTGTCCCCGAAATGATTCAATTTAAGGTTAATTGATTATTACTCCAACTTGGTACATGATAAAGCCATAGGGTCTTTTGCAAACTGTTGGTTGACATATGACCTTGAAAAAAGTAAACCGGAAGTGAACTTGAGTGAACCGGAAGTAGTATTTTTTGCACTTATTTCATGGAAAAGTACTTAGAAACCATATATTTTTTGAATGATCATAGGTTAACCTATCATTTGAGACCGGAATTAGTCAAGGTCGTTAAAAACTTCCATTTGTGAGACCGGAATGGACATTTTATAAACCAGAAGTAGCATATTATCTTCCTTTTCACAGGCATAAGTATATACAAACTATATATTTTTGGAATCAGTGTGAATAAAGCGATCATATGAGACCGGAAGTGACATTTTCTTAACCGGAAGTTGGCAATTATCTCCCTTATTTCAGGCAAAAGTATATAGAAACCATTTATTTATTGAATCAGTATGAAGAAATCTATACTTTAACGCTATTAATAACTTTGAGTAAACCAGAAGTAGCTTCCTATCAATTATTTAGAAAATTGATGTGGAAAGACCTTCAATTGTTCTTTGAACAATTGGTTTTTAATTAGGTCTTTCCACTTTTCTGTGGAAAGACCTATTGTATTTGTTCTGATTATTAGGTCTTTCCACTTTTCTGTGGAAAGACCTATTGTATTTCTTCTTCTGATTATTATTATTATTATTTTTTTTTTTCCCGCCAACTTTTGAAATTTTTGTTTCGCAATATGTCGCTTAGATATTTCTCATATTGTATCGTATAGTTTATGCGCTTTTAAATTTCACCCTGCTAAGCCGAACAATTATCTTTGGAAGAGTTATCTCCCTATTCACTGTTTATCAAGTGTGTGCATCTCCTTCGTAACAAAAAAAGATATCGACAAAATTCTTTTTCTAAATTGTTCGTTAGATCCTCAGGAATTTTTGGCTAATTTGGATCGAAGCGATTCGATGAAATTTTATAGGAGTTATCTACCTTTATCAAATAAATTTGTCGTTATGTTTTTGTTACTCATAAACTGTAAGCCGACTAAACCTATAGTTTTTTTATTTGAGGTCCTTACATCCTAACTTCGAAAATGAGGTCAAGGTCAAAGGTCAAGGTCATGTTCTGAATTTTGTCTTTTGCTTGTTTTTGCATTTTCTCCGATATTTTTAATGTTATATATTAAAGAACAAGTGCAAAATGTTTGTTATATTGTGATGAAGATATGATACATTTGGTCTGAGACAATCCAGCGACATCTTATTGGAGTTATTGCCCCTGAAATGTTTTATTTTAAGGTAAATTGATTATTACTTCATATTGGTACATGATAAAGCCATAAGATCTTTTGCAAAATGTTGGGTGACATATGACCTTGAAAAATGTCAACCGGAAGTGACCTTGGGTGAACCGGAAGTAGTCATTTTTGCACTTATTTCATGTAGAAGTACATAGAAACCATATATTTTTTGAATGGTCATACATTAATCTATCATTTGAGACCGGCAGTGATATTTTATAAACCGGAAGTAGCATATTATCTCTATTTTTACAGGCAAAAGTATATATAAACCATATATTTTTGGAATCAGTGTTAATAAAGCTATCATATGAGACCGACAGTGACATTTTCTAAACCGGAAGTAGCCAATTATCTCCCTTTTTACAGGCAAAAGTATATATTAACCATATATTTTTGGAATCAGTGTAAATAAATCTATCATATGAGACCAGAAGTGACATTTTCTTAACCGGAAGTAGCCAATTATCTCCCTTTTGACAGGCAAAATTATATATAAACCATATATTTTTGGAATCAGTGTAAATAAAGCTATCATATGAGACCGGAAGTGACATTTTCTAAACCGGCTGTTGACAATTATTTCCCTTATTTTAGGCAAAAGTCTATAGAAACCATGTTCATTGAATCAGTATGAAGAAACCTATGATTGGACGCCAATAGTAGCTTTGAGTAAACCAGAATTAGCTTCTCATCAATTATTTAGAAAATTGATGTGGAAAGACCTTCAATTGTTCCTTGAACAATTGGTTTTTAATTATTATTATTATTATTATTTTTTTTTTTCCGCCAAGTTTTGAAATTTTTGTTTCGCAATATGTCGCGATATTTCTCATATTGTATCGTATAGTTTATGCGCTTTTAAATTTCACCCTGCTAAGACGAACCATTTTCTTTGTAAGAGTTATCTCCCTATTCACTGTTTATCAAGTGTGTGCATCTCCTTCGTAACAAAAAAAGATATCGACAAAATTCTTTTTCTAAATTGTTCGTTACATCCTCAGGAATGTTTGGCTAATTTGGCTCGAAGCGATTCGATGAAATTTTATAGGAGTTATCTACCTTTACTAAATAAATTTGTCGGCATGTTTTTTTAACTCATAAACCTTTAACCCTATAACCCTGGAATCTTTTTATTTGAGGCCCCTAGGTCCTAACTTAGAAAATGAAGTCAAGGTCAAAGGTCAAGGTCAAGTTCTCAATTTTGACTTTTCCTTGTTTTTGCATTTTCTTCAACACTTTTTAAGATATATATGAAAGAACAACTGCAAAATGTGTGCTTTATTGTAATGAAGATATGTTACATTGGTTTGAAACAATCTAATAGCATCTTATAGGAGTTAGTGCCCCTGAAATGTCTAGTCATAAGGTTAATTGATTATTACTTCAACTTGGTTCATTATAAAGCCATATGACATTTTACAAAAGGTGACATATGACCTTGAAAAATGTCAACCGGAAGTGACCTTCAGAAAACCGGAAGTAGCTTTTTTGCACTTTTTTCATGGAAAAGTACTCAGAATCCATATATTTTGTAATATAAATACATAAACTTATCACTTAAGACCAGAAATGACTTTCGATAAACCGGAAGTGGCCAATTATCTCCTGTTTTACATGCAAAAGTATATAGAAACTATATATTTTTGGAATCAGTGTTAAAGAAGCTATCAAATGAGACCGGAAGTGACGCTTACTTCACCGGAAGTAGCACATTATCTCCCTTATTTCACTCAAAAGTATATAGAAACCATTCATTTATCGCATCAGTTTGAAGAAACTTATGATTGGATACTAATTTTAACCGGAACTAGCTTCTTTTCAATAACTTTGAAAATTGATGTGGAAAGACCTTCAATTGTTCTCTGAACAATTGGTTTTTATTTTTTTTCTTATTTTTCTTCCACACATTTTGTCCGCGCGAGTTCTTGGAATCCTATGGACCAATGTTGATGGAACTCTACTATAATGAGGACCCAAATGTAAAGTTGTGCATCTTGCTATGGAATGGTAAAAAATGGCCGCCGTTTCCATGGAAACAGCAAAAATGCGAAAAAAATCAAAGTGTTCCGAACTGGAAGAAACTCCACAGGAAAGGTAACTGGCATGTTCTGATTTTCAGTTTGAACTAGGAATTTTCCAAATGGCTGCCGTTACCATGGAAACAGCTAAAATATCAAAAATTCTAACTCTTTCGTTATAAGACCCAACTGGATGAAACTTTATGAAAATGTTACCCAGTATGCTAAGATGTCAAGACAATATTTGGATAGTCCAAAATGGGAGCCGTTGTCATGCCATGGCAACAGCAAAAATGTCCAAAACTTCAAAATGTTCCAAACTTCAAGAAATTTTACAAACATGTTGATTGGCACAAGTAAATGCGATTTATGACTTTGGAATTTTCAAAATGGCTGCCATTACCCTGACAATGGGGGAACGAGGGTGCCATCCGTTATTGCTAGCAATTACAAATCTAGTTAAATCGCCAAAACGGAGTTTTGGGGACTTTATGTTTTTGTCCCGTTTCTTACTATTATTATTATTATTATTATTATTATTCTTAACCCAAATTTGTCCGACCATTTTCTTGCAAGCCTTAAATGATGGAAAATTTATATTTGGTATGATGTTGAGTAGTATCCCTAGGGATGGATTCACTATTTTGTATTTCAAATGGGGGTCAACTTGGCACTATTTGGGGGCCGGAACATGGGTGGGGTCATTTTTCGAATATGGATTCGCTACTGGTAGAACCTTTAAGTTTTGTGTAATACAAGAGACCGATGTCCAGGTGTCCATTCCACATTTTTTATTTCAGCCCGGGGTCATCTTGGCATTATTTTAGGGGGTCAATTTTCATGGAACATTCTAGAACAATAGTCATGTGATTAGTCATGTGATAGTGTTGAATTCTTCCTATGTACTTTTTATGTTATATAATGATAGATTATTACAGGTAGCACCATATGAAGCTGTAATTCGACTTTGGAATTTTTAAAATGGCCGCCGTTACCATGGAAACTGCAAAAATGTGATTTTTTTAAAAAATACTTCAAATTTAATGAAATTTTACAGAGATGTTAACGAGTGTATGTAATTTTTGAATTTGACTTTGGAATTTCCAAAATAGCCGCCGTTGCCATGGAAACAACAATAATGCGAAAAATCTAGATTTGGTCCAATCTTTATGAAACTTGACAGTAATGTGACCTGTCATGTGTAGATGTGCCATCGGACTTTGGAATTTTCTAAATTCATGGAAACTGCAAAAATGTCAAAAAATTCAAAATGCTTCAAACTTAATGAAACTTTACACAAATGTTGACTGTCTTATGTAGATGTGGCATTTGACTTTGGAATTTCCAAAATGGCCACCGTAATCATGGAAACAAGAATGCTTAAATTTGAAAATTGGTCCAATTTTTATGAAACTTGTAAGTAATGTGACCTGTCACGTGTAGATGTGATACCCGACTTTGAAATTTCAAAATGGCTGCGTTACCATGGAAACAGCAGAACAATGTTTGGGGGCCGTTTTGGCGACTTTTGTGTTAGCATCCTAACACAGGATTACTTGTTTATATTATGATTATTCCACACTTTTTTGTCCAGACTATTTCTCGGAATTGTATGGACCAATTATAATGGAACTATACAATAATGTTAACCACGTGTGCAGATGTGCAGTCGGGGTTGGCATTTCCAAGATGGCTGCCATTGCCATGGAAACAGCGAAAATGCAAAAAAATGGAAAGTGTTCCAAACTTTATGAAACTTTACATAAATGGTAACTGGCATGTGCAGAATTGCATTTTGACGTTGGAGCTTTCAAAATGGCTACAGTTACAATGGAAACAGTCACAATGTAAAAAAAATTAAAATGCTCCAAACTTACTGAAAATGTACATACAGATGTGTTGTGATGTATATATATGCATTCACTGTTTTAAAGATTAAAAGCGGATGCCGTTATAGTGGTAATTGGTGGCCAGGGTGCCATCCGCTATTGTTCGCAATGGCAATTCTAGTTCTATTTATATTCATATCGGGTTATATGAACGTCGGCAGGCTTCGGAGGTCATCTCAATGATTAATTAGATGACGTCTAGACAAAAATACACAAGAAATATTAACGAGTTTGTGCATTGTTAATTGTTTATTTTAGGCTTTTTGTAATTGGGACATACATTTTAGTATGTTATTAATCAAAAATGAGAATTTGAGTCAAATCGGTGAATATGAATTTGACATCTAATGCCCCTTTAAACTCGTGTATTATTTTTCTAGTTAATTCAAAAGGTTTTGTGATTTAAGGTTTTACCGGATGTTGTTAAATTTCCAAAGGATGTTATTTAATATTTATTACTCTCTGACCAGATGTGGTTTGCTTAATGAGTGTGCCCCAAGCAGAAGTTATTACTTTGTAGTTAACCCCCTGATCAGAAGAAAAAAAAATCATTTCTTTAATTGTTTATCCCTTTTAGATATATACTAAATTATAATAGGAATAGAAATATTTCAGATATCAGGTTAAAAAATTTCAGAGACTTTGTTGGCTGTTGTTATGTCAGTTAAAAAGATAATTATATAACTACATGTATAGTACAGTTTTGTTTTTCAGGTAACAGAAAATCTTTTTTTGTACCACTCAGATTTTAAAATTAGATAATTTGACTATCTCCTTTTGATAAATCTGATAATAATGCAATGATGTGAAAATCTGTAAAGATATCTTTACTTTAGTGTGACTGTTGTCATGTCAGTTAAAACAATTGTTATATAAACAATTAGAAATAAAATAAGAAGATGTTATTTGGTCAAACATGGGTTCAAAAAGGTCGAGTATTGTTCAGTCCTTTGGTCGAGAATGGTTCATACATGAAAAAAAATATGTCAAG